TGATATACACTTAGGTGATCATGTATCTTTCGATACATGACTGACGAGGCAGATTTTTTCCTGCATTTGGTTGCCATTTCTTTTTGCAGTAGATCAGTTGCCATCCAAGGCTATAGAACCCAGTCTGTCCTTCTATTTACCCATAGCTGAGGGGAGAAGAAGAGGATTCATACCTTTCCCAAGGGTATTAGCATGTAAGTTAATGTTATAGATTCGACTGGAATTTGAACTCGGCTCACCAATTCCTCAATCTGAGCTGCTATCCATTACTCCACCATGACTCCTATACTCTCTGAATAAACTCAAATCCCTGTTTAACCCCTCAATGTTTGAATTTAGTTTGAAAATAAATTTCAACTCTGATCTCCATCTCACTTCTCAGCTGTTGAATGAAGACACAAAAAGCATGCATCTGATATCATCTGCATTATGATGCGTTAGGTTGAAGTGTCATGCAACTGAGAAATTATTGTTGTTATCCCTGATGGTATTTTTATGGTTGTTAAATTGAAATCGAAATTCTGTACTCATTTCTTTCATATATTTACCTTGTTGGCACTTGAGACAGAAAAGCAAATATACAAGATGTGAACTATCACAGTTTAAAGCTGATGGTTTGAATAATATGTGATTACCAAGGTATGTGAAACTGCTATCAGTGATGATATGTTTACAGACTTGGCATCAGGGTTTATTGCAGGTTATAGTCCCTTGGTGAGGTGGTGAAAGGTGTATACTGGATGTGGTTAAAAGTGTGTTTAAGTTAGAGTGCTGGTATCTAGCAGGGAGTGGGTTTTCATTGAATATTTTTCTAATTATCTGGTCAAGTTTTAGATACTGGAAATTTTTGTTAAGATATGGAAAAGCTTGTGAATTTTGTAATTAAAATAATAAAAAAAAATATGGGAATTTTGGAATTGTTTTTTTTTTTTATTAGATAGGTTAGAAGTGTCTTTGCATTTTGTTTAGAAGCCTTAGTAATTGATTTTTTGATAGTTTTAAGTGTATAATTCCTGTTAAGAAAGTGAATAATTGTCCTATGTTTACTTTGTAATTACTTTTCATTGAACAGATAGATTTTATGCATAGATATTGGCTGTAGACAATCAATTCTTTTAGGTTGTGGGGTGACAGATATTGAAATTCAGGTAGCAATGACCATCTGTGGGCTTCGTGTATAGTGTAACAGATATGTGATAGTTGTTTAGGTCTACCAGCACATCCAGAAATGAAATAGATGTGTTAGAATATTCTAATGTGAATTTAATGGTGTGGTGGAAAATGCCGAGGTGTTTTTTGAGTCACGAGGACTATTCTCTTCATGTGTCTATATAAGGAAGATATCATCTATGTATCTGTGGTAATTAGAGGTGCTAGGTGGTAACTACTTAATCTATCTCATTCCAAGGCAACCATGAATATGTTTGCATAGCTGGGAGCTATTTTTGATCCCATTGCAGTGCCTCTGACTTGAAGAAAATTGTTCCCATTAAACTTGAAATTGTTGTGTGCAAGTATGAATTGCATAATGTTGATATCTTGTGTAGGGTGTTCCTGAAAACTTCTGACACATAAAAAAAATTTTTGCAGGCAAGAATTCCATCCTTGTGTGGGATGTTAGAATACATGGATGTCACATCCATGTTCATTAGGAGTGAAATGTGTATATATATATATATATATATATATATATATATATATATATATATATATATATATATATATATCTTTCAGAATTCTTAAAATGTGTATCTTCACCTGGCCTTGGATTGTTTATATGGGTGTGTTTGTGTGAACTAAAATGCGTACAACTGTTTATATGTGTCCATGTGTATGAGAGTGTCATCCCGAACAAGCACAGAAGGAAATTTCCCCCTCCCACCACCAAACATAGTTAAACAGGCATAAATAGATCCAATTTTAAAAAATAAACCAGTTTGTCTGATGATCACAAAAGCATGAATCCCGGGGTCACAGAGTCATATCCATACAACTGAATATATATATATATATATATATATATATATAAGGCATTAAAAACAAGAAATTTTATATTGTAGGCCATGACAGATTTAAAACAAAACATACACCAGTCGACCGGTTTCGTCCCTTCTCATCAGAACTGTTAACGGGGAACTAAGATTATGAGGAAAAGAAAAAGAAAAAGTCTGTCATGGATGACATGAATGAGTGGACAGGGAGAAAAAAAAAAATTATAAAAAATTATACCAACCAAGATGCTAGAAATGCAGCACAGCAAGTCCAAGCAAACAATTTCTTTGTTTGCAAAGAGCAGGTTGCCTGGACCTGATGTAAAGCGTCTCCAACACCTTAAGATGGAATAATGAGTGTGAACTGGCCAAAACGGAAAACCAGTTCACACTGAAATTCATCGCACAAGTGGGATTCTTTATAAAGTGATCCGCAATCGAAGAACCATACGTGCTACGAATGGTATCTCCCAAAGAAAATTTTTTTGTTCAGTATTATAGCAGGTACGTGTTGTTTAATTCTAATATCCAAGTAACAGAATTAATATGGTGGCGGAAGGGGTGGGGTAGAACACCATATTAATTCTGTTATTTACTATTTCAAATGTAGTTGTGGATGCGACGACATAGGTAGAACGACACAGATATATATTGCTTTAAAAGTATTAAGTTTAATATTACAAGGCATAATGAGGGATAAAAAAAAAATAAAAGGAGGGGAAAAGAACCAGTTTCGGTCCTGCTCATCAAAGTTTCTTTATCAGGAGAATTTTAATTTAAAATATAATAAATATGAGATATGAATTAGTCAATGTTGAGAATGGGTGGGGTTGAACTACAAGAAACTGATCACAGAAAGGCCTGAATATGTTAGCTCTATCCCTGATATTGAGCACTTTCCATTAAGTATTGCACATAAAAAATAAAATTTTATATATATATATATATATATATATATATATCAGTAGCAATGAAGAAACAAAATTGTATCCATTATTCTTTCCTATTCATTTATAAAACTCCTTTAAAGATTTCCATTGGCCCTGAAGCAGGAAAAAACTGAGAACAGAATTCCATTCCAAGTGTCACCAAAATTATTCTCATCCCTAAAAACCCCAAAAAGTTTCTGTTCAAATCAGAGAAAAGAGTTCTTCTAAGTATATTTGAAATCTCTAATGGTCAGTGCACATTAACTTCCATTTTTCACAAACACTTAGCTATTAAGCATCTAGTTTTTATTTTTTTCCTTTCTTGCTTCTTAAAACCAGTTTTCTTATTCAATCCTTGTACTTCAATTACTATTGGTATTACTTCTCTTTCTAGAAAGTTTCTCTCTTCCCTGCTTTTAATCTCCGACTTCCCACCAATTGTTCTGTCTTTTCTACTATACAATACTAATACTTCTATTATTAACAGATGGTGTGTTGGTGATAAAGATTGTAGTTATAATGTTAACTGAAGTTACTGCTAGTATGATGATTGTAATGATGAGGATGATTGGCTGTTTTTTATTTGTTTTATCACTGTGGTTTATGATTCACGCACTCTTCACATATTCTGTTTCTATTACAACTATTTCTCATTCTGCTATTAAACTTCACATCACACCTCTTCTGCTTTTTTAATGCAGGGATCATGATGACGATGATGACAATGATCCTGATTGACAATGTGATGATCACAACAAGTTGATTAGATTGAGCAGATAATCTCCTTCATTGTCATTTAATCATAGATGGAGGCAAGAATATGTTTTTTTGTTCTTCTCTTTTTAAGAAAAACTGAAGTGAATAAAGATAGAGAAAATAATAAATTGTGGATTAAACAATATGGGGGCAGAAACCAGCCAGCTATTTCAATACAAAGTGAAGAAAAAAATGTCATTAAAGATTAAAAGCTGTATAATTTTATTAAGCAGGAAAAAGTCTTCCATTTTTTTTTTCAATTCACTGATGTGCTTAATTTTTTTTTTTACTTCATATTCTTTTGAAATTCCTTGTCCTTATTTTTTTTTTTTTTTTTTTACAATCTATCACTTTTTCTCTCACAAATTTATTTTAAATGTCTTCATTGTTCTTCATTTCTTTCATACCATTTTTCATTAACTGCATTTATTTGTTCACTTTATTTCTTTCTGTATAATGTTGGCTTGCTTTCTTTCCTTTTTCAGATAAGAACTTTTCTTTTTTTATATTGTTAAATATATAATTATTGGTTCCTTTTTACTGAATGATTTTTTTTTTAATTTTTATCGTTAGCTTCATTCACACTTTTCTTTTTATTATTCTTTTTGTTCTTTTTTTCAATTTTCCTTTATCATTCCTTCTTATTTGTTCTTATTCTTTTAGTACTCTTAATTTTCTTTTCTTTTTGTTTTTAAATATTTGCCAAATTTCTTTCTTTTTTTTCCTTTCACTTTCCATCTTCACTTGTCTGCTTCATTTACATCTCCTCACTCTTTAACAATATCTTTGCTTTTCTTCATTTATTTTCCCTTGACTTAAATTCTGTCTTTTTACATTTGTTGAGTGAACATATTAAAAAACATTACACTTTTAATAGCAGGCTAAATTTGACTTCCTGATAATTATGAAGTATCAATAATAAATACAAAGTGTGCTGAAAAGTTCTGAACCTGACCTGTGTTATCACAATTTGATCAAATGAGTAAAACATCACAATTTCTTTTTAGAAGGATGTCATAGTCAGCCTGAGAACTTTTCAGTAGCCCCCATATACAAGAATTGTTGTGAAGAAAATATTTTAAAATCAATGGACAGACATTACCCTGAAGGCTTTATAAAAGTGTACATACAAAATACAAACAGTTTGTAGTATATGTAATAAAAATATAAAGAAAAATATTTATTAAAAAATATATTCTTAATCAATAGTTTTTTTTATATTTAAAAAAATGTGAATTTTAAAAAAATACATAGAAGGGGCCCCTTTAATTGGAAAGGTACCAGTCATAGTATTTGACAGATGTAATATTCATGAGGTTCTTGTTTACTCGATTAGATAGAAAAATAAAAAAAAAAGGAAAAGAAAAAGAGGAAAGCAAACGAAAAAAGGATAAATGAGAAACAAAGAAAAAGAGAGAGAAAGAAAAAGAGAGAGAAAGAAAAAGAGAGAGAAAGAAAAAGAGAGAGAAAGAAAAAGAGAGAAAGAAAAGAGAAGAAAGAAAAAGAGAAAGAAAGAAAGAAAAAGAGAAGAAAAGAGAGAGAAAGAAAAAAGAGAAAAAAAAGAGAGAAAAGAAAAGAGAGAGAAAGAAAAGAGAGAAAAAAAAAGAGAGAGAAAGAAAGAGAGAGAAAGAAAAAGAGAGAAAGAGAGAGAGAGAAAAAAAGAGAGAGAAAGAAAAAAGAGAGAAAGAGAGAGAAAGAAAAGAGAGAGAAAAAAGAAAGAGAGAAAAAAAAAAGAGAGAAAGAAAAAGAGAGAGAAAGAAAAAGAAAAGAGAGAGAAAGAAAAAAGAGAGAGAAAAAAAAGAGAGAGAAAGAAAAAGAGAGAAAAGAGAGAGAAAAAAAAGAGAGAAAGAAAAAGAGAGAGAAAGAAAAGAGAGAGAAAGAAAAAGAGAAAGAGAAAAGAGAGAGAAAGAAAAAGAGAGAAAGAAAGAGAGAGAAAGAGAAAAGAGAGAAAAAGAAAAAGAGAGAGAAAAGAAAAGAGAGAGAAAGAAAAGAAAGAGAGAGAGAAAAAGAGAGAGAAAGAAAAGAGAGAGAAAGAAAAAAGAGAGAGAAAGAAAAAGAGAGAGAGAGAAGAGAGAGAAGAAAGAGAAAGAAAAAGAGAGAGAAAGAAAAAGAGAGAAAAGAGAGAGAGAGAGAAAGAGAGAAAAGAGAGAAAAGAGAGAAAAAGAAAAGAGAAAAGAAAAGAGAGAAAAAGAGAGAAAAAGAGAGAGAAAGAGAAAAAGAGAGAGAAAGAGAAAAGAGAAAAGAAAAAATACTGCATCAGTAAGAACAAAAAAAAGAATTGTGTCGTGGTTAAATCTCTGAAAACTGATCAATGTAAGTAGAGTTCAATTCTGAGTTAAAAAATATTTACAGTGATATTAAGAGAAGAAATTACAGCTATATGAAAGAGAATTTTAACAGAGGCCACAAAGTACGACACTGAAATCTGAAGGTGCTTTGGGATAGTGAAACATGCCTTCCAAAATATAAGCAAAATAGAAAAAAATAGAAAAATTTCATTAGAAACAAAGAAAAGATTACTGAATGCAGGACAATCTCTTCACAGATGAAAAAACGACTTGAAGTAACACAAATGTGGTTCTACAGACGGTTGCTGAGAATACTATTGACCAAACATGTGAGAAACAACAAATTTTCAGAGAGAATGGAAACATAAAATACTAACATCAGAAAGAAATGGTTGAAATTTCTATGGCACATGATCAGGAAAGAGAGCTTGGAAAATAAAGATAAATTGAGGGACCAAAAAAACAATGCATACCATACCAAGAGACCTTGAGGAATTGGATATCAGAGCAGGGTTTAGGCGAGATAAAAAAAAAAAGAGATTAAACTTATTAAGCGCTACAAAGGATAGGGAATTGGGAAGAGCCATGATCACCTACACCCTGAAGGTACAAGGAAAATAGAAGAAAAAAAAAAAAAGGAAATAAAACGTTCCTACTTACAGATTATGTGTTAACATGCAAATTAAAGAGAACCTGAAAAGTAATAAAAATATGATTCATATTATTGTATGGATTTGTAAATTTAAATTTTGGTAAATGAGATAGATTGCCAGATTCCATATTTTGTTTTCAAAGTACAAAAAAAAAACCCAACTCAAAACTGTATTTTCTGATAGACATAAATATCTAATCATCTATGTAAATGTTCCTTCAGGGCATTGGTGATCATGGCTCTCCACAATTTGCTGTCCTTTGTAGCTCTTAGTAAATTTTGTCTTTTTGCTATCTCTCTTAATTCTCGTTCTGTGAACCATTTACAAAAATTCGCTAGGTAGGTTATGTATTTCTTTCCTCTGTCCTGTGAGTATCAAAATTTTTTAAGCCCTTTTTTTCCTCATTATTTGCCCTAGAAATTTCAAACCTCTCTTTCTGAGGTTAAATATTTTATTTTTATTTTATTTTTCTCTAAAACTTTTTCGGTGCTCACATGTTCAAAAAAGTCCATGGTAAGTTATGCACTTCTCTCTTATGGAATTAAAATTCAGAACCTTCTTTTATTAAGTAACATTCATTTTATCTATTATTTTGGGAGGTTTTATATTTTTGCCTGCATAACTAAATCTTTAACATACTTTCTCAGAATCAAATTCAACTTCTGCCTAATAAATGAAAAGACATAACTAAACATCTTTGAGTGGATAGTGCTGACCTGGATTAACAAAGTAATATAATAATGATTTAAAGAAAAGAAGGAAAAAGAAACAGGGAAATGGCATAAGGAAAAATAAAATCCAATGCATTTTAGGAATTGGCTGGAATTCATGTTTTTGATTCTTGAGTTATGTCAATTCTGGGAATCTCACTATCTCCTCTTCAAGAAAATGATCAGAATAATCCTTACTCTTCTCTTCATAAATACAACTTACCCCCATCCCTTAATTTTTTTTGTTTTACCTTCCTCCACTGTCACTATTTTTCTTTCTGATTCATTCAATCTGTTATTTCACACTTTTTTTTATAAGCTGATCCAGTTGTTCTTTCCTCATTTTTTTTTATTTTGAAATGAAGGAAAGAAAATTTCTTAAAAAAAGAAAGAAATTAAGATAAAATAAAAAAAAAAATTAGCCAATGGATGAAAAAATAAATTATAAATAAAAACATTAAGAAATGAAATAAGAAGCTGAACAATAAAAAGCCATAAAAATTGTTTAATTTCTTTTTAACATTCTCAACTCTTTCATATATAAAATACTATGTATGTCTGTCTGTATTTTTTCCCCCTTTCTGGAGACACATTATATATCAGCAAAAAGCTATATCCATTTTTTTTTTTTTATTTCGTTTCTCTCACAAAAAAACTGGTAAGAAGTAGGAGAATAACAAGAAAAAAAAACGTTTGTTGTTTATATGCAAATGAAAACAGATAAATATTTTCTTTTCTTTTTGTTTTAACACTGGAGGGAAAGATTAAAAGAAGGAATCTAAATAAAAGCATAAAGGGATTGCTTTTGTCTTCAGCAGACATTGCCATGAATTTGACATTACCCTGCTTTTTTTTTTTATAGACAATGATTCATGTTATGAATTGCAAAAATATTATTCCAGTTGGAACCTAGATTTTTGTTTTTGTCACAGAAAGCTGGAAGCCTTATTGTACTTTATTCTGTTACCGTCATTGCATCAACACAAATATATTTCATGCCATCATGTTCGTGAGCTACTATATTGTTTTACATTGCCAAGTTTTAACAAGAGGGATGCATGAAATAAAATTATCAAAGTTTATTACTAGCAATGATCCTAAAGGCCATAATTGGGAATAACTGGGCCCTTATACTATACCCTGTTTAATTCAGAAATTTATATGTTAGGGCAGATCAATAATTCTGTAGTCTGCTACAAAGTAATTTGCTGTATTTTGATATGCAATTTTCACTGGATCATTTTCTTTTTTTTAATATTGTTCACACAATAAACTGCCCAAGAGTAACTCAAGATAGAGCATTACTAAATGAAATTGTTGTAAAAGTGTTCAAGGAAGGAACAAAAGGTGTGTATTATTTTCAATCTGTATGTTTAATATTTACCACTGAATTAAATCCAAAACAAAACTGTTCTCTTTTAATCATTTGAGAGAACTCTTTTTACCTTGCATCATTGTGCTTTCTCAGATTAACTTTTTCTGCTGATATAAAGTGGAAAGAGTATATTTAATCAATTGCTAAATCTGCTGCTTGGTTCACTCAACAATTTGTGGCTCCAGAATCTATCTTACATATTTATAATTCTACCATTCATTCTTGCTTTGAATATTCTTGCCACATCTGGTCTGATGCTCTTGCTATGTATTTAGAGATTCTTTCATAAAATCCAAAGAAGAATCTGCAATGTTATTGGTCCTGATCTGGCATCTTGGTTTCAGTCTGTTTCTCACTGCTGTAATGTAGCTTTTACAGTTAAAATGGCTAGATGTAAACATCAGTTCTATGCTATCAGTTTCTTTCTATCACACTTCTCACTTGTGGAACTCTCTTCTTGCTTCTTTGTCAACTTTGACGTTCAAAAATTTAAATCTGGTGTCGATTATTATATTCTAGCTTCTTAATTCTTGTTCTTTTATAATACATTTTTCTCGCATTCTCTGACACCATATCTCATTGAACATTGTGGACTGGGGCTACAGAATCTCAAACAAAGAACTGGACATCATAAAAGAGACCAAATCACTTGGTGAATACCAACAGCAACAATGACTAAAATAAATAGAACATGTAACTCAAAGGGAAAATAATGACATAAGCAAAATATTGACATTTCACACTACTTCAAGCAAAAAGCAAGAACAATGCTCTCATCAATATTAGACTTGAGAAACCTACATTCCTGAAAAATTTTTAAATTTCAACTGAAACCTGTATTGGCTGTTTGGTCACTGAATACAAAATGTTTCCTTATAAGGAAACAGCTAATATTACTTTTTTTTTTACAGTAAGGTTCATCCTTTACAAGGCCTGGGGGCTTCTCAAGAGAGAGTGTTACATTTGTAAACAATTTTTGTGGACAGGAGTGAAAGATAATGATTAATCCTATCCTTGAACAGGTTAAGATTGTAGTGATCAGGAAAACATCCTCTTGGGAGTTTGTTCCACAGAGCAGTGGTTCGTGGGGAGAAGCTGTTGGAGTAGAAGTTACTTCTCACTGATAGAATACAGCGGAAATGTGGGCGGTTTGCTAATATTTAAGTGGCATGGTATGTCCTTGCCATGATGGTTTGAATTGGCAGGAACAGGGAATGTAGTTCGTCCTAGCACTTTCCGTGGAAGTAGCAACAGAGCAGAGAGATACTTGCCACATCCCACCTGTGGATGAGAGGTTGAAAGGTAGAGAATAATTTGACACCCTTAAGGGCTCATCAAGGCTGGAGAGTGAGGTCTGGGCAGCTTCCGCCCAAATATGACAACATCACTCCATTTTTTTTTTTTTTACTACTGTTTAAATGAATCAAACTTATAAGATATTTCATTCAAAGAAAGTTTGCATTGCACTGGTTTCCTGCTACACAACAATCTGTTAAGTAAGGTGATAGTACTAAATGGCAAAAAACTAATAAGCTCGGAAAATCTTAAGTTCTTGTGGGGGCGGTGGAAAAAATCCAAAAATTAAGTAGGGATGTTCCTTTGGCACCTGAGGGTAGTTGATATTGGACAAGCAAGTAGCATATTGATATTTCAGTATTTTTTTTATCTCTCTTCCCTCATAAAAGTGACTAATTCTTTTATAAGGTATTTACAAAACAAAAAAAACAAAAAAAAACACCAAAAAAAAAAAAATAAAAAAAAACAGACACGCATAGTGTAATTGATATTAGTACAGAAAGCAAATTAGACATACAGAGTTCAATTACCAGTCAATTCTGTTTTGCCACTGTTTACTAATGCCCTTGCCAAAGACATGGATCCACCTTCCTCCAGTTATGGGTCAAATAGCTGGACAGGCTGAGCTCTTTTACTTTGGGTTGGCAACCAGTCAAGAAGGAGGAAAACTTGGAATTCAAAACCAGCCTAGAGAGGGATGGGCTAAGTCAGATCATTTTGCCCTAGGTACACTAATATTGCTATGGCTGCAGTACATATGGTGCCTCTATGACTCTAATGGGTCATGGGAGTTATGGAATGTATGAAACATATATTAGTAAAAGAAAATAAGTTATGGAAGAAATATTAGCATAAATGAGGAGACAGTACAACAAGTAAGCAAGCAATTCTAAAGGATGATCTTGCAATGTAAAATTTGCTAATTAATTTTCTTTTAAGTAAGATAAAGAATCCCTGACTTTTACCACAGTCATAAAGAAAAAAAATTTCTGATGTAGTTTAGATAAAAAGATATTTATAGCTGTTTAATTTACTTCGTAGATTTGAGCTGAAAGGTGAGTTTTCAGTGTATTGAAAGAATTAGCATAGAAGCATTACCACACACATAATTCAGCTGAATTCATAGGTGCATTTATATATCATTTAACATTTTCTTTAATGTGACTATTTTTTTTGCTGCAGGCAAAAAAACTTGGATATATTTTATTTCTATGCTTAATATAACCCCATTTTATAGAGTAACTTGTCATTTGTTAAAAAAATGAAGTATCATTTGTCTGTGCATTGAATACTGTTGCCATATCTGCTGTACATCTTGAGATTCTTTACAAAATCCAAAGATATATCTGTAATGTAATAAATCTTGACCTGGCATCTCTGCTTCAGTCACTTTCTCACCGACATGACATGGCTTTCCTCTATCTTTTCTACAAATATTTTCATGGCAACTTTTCTGATGAACATTTTTCCCTTGTGCTCAGACTACATGAATTTAAGCATGCTACTAGATTGGCATCTAGGTCCCACCTGTTCACTGTTGAAATAGCTAAATGCAACCACAACTTGGTGTCTCTCTCTCTCTCAATCAATAACTTCAATATGTCCTAAGGGTATAAAATTTTCCAAGCCTTCTTTCCTCGTTATGAGTCCCAAAAATTTTAACCTCATTCTGATTCTCATTTTCTTTGTTCCATTTTCTTAAAACTTTCTTATTGTTCATATATTCCATCCATAATATTCTCAGCATTTCTCTGTAGAAACATCTCTGTTGCATCAAGTCTGCTTTTCATATGTGAGAAAATTTCCAGCATTCACTGCCATAAAGAAAGATTGATATAACAAGAGTTCAGCACTTATTTCTGTATCTGAATTTTCTAGGATAAGGAGTTGTTATTTGCATTATTTACATTCTAACTATTGGCCTCATCTTTGTTGTTATCGCAACGTTTCAACTGTTGTGCTCTCTGGACTTCATCAGAGTATATATTGATCAGAGTTACTTACAATTACTATGACACTAAATTCACAGACTTAGTTGCTTGAAGTGTTAGTTCTTGAATTTAGTGATATAATAATTATGAGTTCAATCTCTGGGCTGAGCTGTTTAGACTTGGATTCAGTGGTGACTGGAAAGTACTAAAAATAAGAACTAGCCAAGATATCCCTATAAATACCTCAATCAATATACACCTGATGAAGGCCAGAGAGAACAACAGCTGAAATGTTGTGATAACAAAAGGACAAGAGTATATAGTGTATCTCTAGTGTGGAAATTTAGACTTCCAGACAATATAAAAAGGAGCTTCTTTCAAGCAACTGTTATCTCTGTTGTATGGTAAGGCTGCTTAACATAGACGCTTAGATCAAAACTGTAAAGAAAATTGGATGGAGTCTACACTTGCATGCTCAGAATGCCTTTGAATGTCACTTGGAGAGATTGACCAATGGG